AACTACTGACTACATGAGCTACCTATATACATATATTGGAGCGGAGACTGAATCTGAATCTGAACTAACTAGCCAATCATTAAATAGGAAAGGGAATCGTACGATGTTCTAAATATAACTACACTATGATGTCATAGAACGTGTGATTGCTGTGCAAGGGTTCTCGAAGGTTCTGGAGTCACGTGACTTAATCGCTTGAGTAAGGAAGTCAAAATCAGGAACGTCGGAAATAGAAGTAGTGGGCGCTAACGGAATAGAGAAGTTGGGGTTAGGGTTTGTGAAGGTTATAGGTACAGACGCTGACTGAGCGCTAACAACGGGCGCTTGTGATGGGCGCTTAACGGGTGTCTTACGAGTGTTTAAGAAAGAATAATGGTTTGTATTTGGAATTCGTGACAAACACTCACATAAGTTAGAGCTCTATTCTTCAAAACAGGATCTTGGCAAATGGCGTCAAACATTGGCTTTAGGGGAGAGCCTGGATTCTTGACCGCTTCTTTGATGCAGTCCCATGCAAAGGAGTCCTGCACATCCACTGAAGGGCCTGGAAAAGCATTCACCAAAGCTATCTTGATACGAAGTAGCTGGTGTGCAAGATCAACCAAGGGACCGCACCCATCCTTCTTCAAGGAAGCTAAAGTAGTAGGTAGTTTAGTGTCACCTTTGCGTACTCTTTTCCTACGAATCCTCTCCCCATTATCTTCCTGGGGCTCATCCTTGACCTCAATAAGCTTTATATAGGTAGTCAGCATTGAAGGCTATACAAAAAAAAATTACGCACCCCATTTGTTCTCCTTCTAGTACCTGTGCTCTCCGCTGATACATCTTCATCTCCATCATTGGCACCCTCATCACCACTGCCCTCATTGGCCCCATCTTGGTCACTAGAATCTAAGATATAATGAGCGTATGATGGACATATTTTTAATAGAAAAATCAAGACATACCAGGACTAGGCGTAGATTCTTTCTCTTTAGAAGGAACAACAGAAGGTAAAATGTCTGCAGGATCAGCGTCATCTATATGATCCATGTCACTGTCATCAGGGACCACTGGACGCGAACGTGACACTATTGCAACAGTTAGCTGTGTCAAATATGTCGAAGCAAAGACCTGCCTCTTTTACGCTTTTTGTCAGTGCTAGTGCTCGTATACTCCTGTTCCAAGTCACTCTCTTCATCTAACATAGCATCCACTTTCTTCCGAACATCTAAAATATGATATTTTGTTAACATATTTCCTAACTCATTAAGCTTTCAGCATCACATACTTTCTTTACGATTGACCTCAGCTTCTTTTTTCTTCTGTGCTTGAAACTTGAGGAATTCTTCATATTGGTCGTCTGAAACCTGCACTTTGGACCCAGTTGGTTTCCTTTGCGCCCTGGGCTTGGCTATAGGGGGTGCCGGTGTAAGTGTCCTTGTCACCTTTCCTTTAGCCTGAGGCTTGGTGGCCCTGCGTGACATTTTATATAGAAGTAAGATTTGAACTGTGATTAATGGCGTGGATGGGAAGGTTGAGAAGTTGGAAGCGAACTAAAGCTGACTTAAATACCATGAACCGAAACTTTATAATTAAGCGGTAACAAACACATGAGCCATGGCGCAAAAAACATATATACATTTTGCTCTGGTGTCATACGTAAGAATGCATGGTCTGGTTATCTACCCAACCATTTTGATTCTTAAGCCATGCTGCAAACTCCCTGTCTGTCTGAAAGACAAGAGACGCCCTTGCACCGTTATAGTCAAGGTTAAAATGAGTGACCTCGCTTGACCTAAAGAGCGCAACGTCACCAGAACGCAACTCCAGGACAAGTCCATTCTCTAGCAGGCACAAAGCGCCTCCTTGGAAGTGTCCGATTGGTATGACAAGACATAAATGGCGATCCTGTCCATCACGATGGGCTTTGGTCCTCACATTGATGTTGATGACCAAAGATATAAATGGCGCAAAAGGTGGAGAGTGATTGCCAGGCAACATAGACGCGACCTCCATCAGCATCTCAAACTCATCTTGCAAATAAGTCTCCATCTGCACAAATGTTAAAATAAACCCGTGAGCGTGAACAATTCTTTACAATTACATACCAATTTTCTAACCCATTCAAAGAGCTCCGCATATACACGGGAGATTGTAGAGTAGATGTGTTTGTGTTCACGCAGATCTTTTGATATGTACGGAATCACCTGCTGGTAGTTAGTACGCATGCCTTCTTTCTCTAGAAGCCACGGTTGAACCTCCTTGGGGGCCTCATTACCCTGGTGCATCAATAATATTGAGTGACGTCAGATTGTAGAAATAAAAGAGCTTACCGAGGTACAATGCCTATTATACCAAGACAAGTGCATCGCCTGAAAGTTTTTACACCCAGGCAATGCACTATCTACCTCTTCCAGCAACTCAGGCCTTTCCAGCGCAGACAAGAGATTCACCTCGAGCACGGAACGGATGTGGTTCGGTAGTGCCGTTGACACAAATGCCATCAGCGAACCGTCTTTGCAACGCAGCTCCAAGTGATGACTGAGAAGTGTCAGCTTCATCTCAATGATAAAAGAAAGGCAAGGAGTGCGCTACGCACTTCGGTATAATTTCCATAGGGATTCTTAAGTATGTGTCCTGCGATCTCTTAACACCCTTTGGATACAAATTCGCAAGCTACATAAGCGGGATCATGAGCTAAATTGATTAATACTAGCTGCAACATACACATACCTTCGCCTGCAAACTGTCAATGCTTCTTACCCTCTCACCCCGCTCAGCTCGCAACCTTTCATCAGCACTCCAGGTATCGTTGTCTGCCTTGTTTCTTGGTGCCTTGAAGCTCTTGTTCTCCGATGCAAGCGGATCGTACGCAGTCTTGATAATGATATGCTCCGTCTCATCCTCTTCAACGTCAGAAAGTGGTGGGCTGTAAGGGCGACTTGAACCGTAGAATACGTCGTAATTCAAGCTCTGTACCGGAACTCTGTTAGATTTGTCTGGTACAGGTACAACGCACGGTCTCCAAACATGTGCGTTTCTTGAGAGAGGTACAAACGCACTGAGCAACAGCAATGTCCATCAATATGTAGCATATCCCTGTACGAGATACTCACTTTTGTATGATGGCGTCAAAGAACCGATCAGATGCTGAAAGGTCTGTACAGTCGACTGATTTCGACACGACAAATCTTTGAATCAGCGCGAGAGGAAACATTGAGGCCATGCTAAGAGGGTACACGAGACGCATGCGTGCGATAGTCGGAACGATGTATCCTGTAATGAGATCTCTTTGGAGAGAATCTATGTTTCGGAGAATATGTCACTTTTGCATCTCAAAAAAACAGAACAACTTACCTTTAGGAGGCGATCGCAGGAAGTCAGCTATATTCAAGTGCGTAGTGCCTACCATGGAAGCGATAGAGACCCTGAGCCCTAAGCCTGCAATGAGCACAAGTATGTAAATGGAACCGCCACTGGCGAGTGCAATAAATTTGCTGCCAATAGCGTGCCAATCTGCAAAGGTTCGATAAGAGATCTTTCCTGTGGAACCGTAAAGCTTGATTTCCTGGTCATATATTGCTTTCAAGCGTAGACCAGTCTTGAGGCGTATGCTACAAAAGATCATGTTTTAAATATGTGAGAACAGAATGTGGATAGAATACGCACCTTTGGCACTTGCAGACGAGCGTCATATAGTTCATCATGACGAGGAAGTTGGCACGAACGTCCTTACTTATGATTCCTCGGCATCGAACTACAACCGAAATCAGCGACTCGTCCTCCACACATGGAGTCTGGATATGATTGGCGATATCCTGCAGCCAGCTCAGTGGACTGTGGATGGTTGAGTTGCAGTGAGCGGATGCAAGTTCTGCAATGATGGTAGCAGCTTCATTGCTACATGTGATCTTGGGGTCATTGTATTGACGGTGACGCCATAAACCTCTCCTGGCACTTGCTCTCGCCAAATTACCTACTCCACCTTCCTCCATCTCTGCCTCCTCCTCCTCCTCCTCCTCCTCCTCCTCCTCCTCCTCCTCCTCTCCACCATCAATGCGCAGAAGATCATCACCACAGACAGCGGCACGTGCAGCAGCACGCTGCGCAAGTAACCGCAATCTTCTAGCACCACGATTACAATCGTCATTTGCAAAACGAGGTCGATCACGATCAAACCCAGGGTCAGGCGGCTCGCCCGGTGGTCCACTGCGTGTGTGTATTGTAGAACGGCGAGGTCGTTTAGTAGGGCGGGATGAATCAGAATAACCAGTGTCCTCGGTGTGTGATTGTGCTCTGTGACGGACAGTAGGTAACTTGGAGAGAACATCGCCAGCAGTTGTTGAGGTTGATGAATCAAGCGGCAGATGGCTAACAGGAGGAATGGGAATTGAGTCACAATGATCAATAGGTGTGCATGAGGGGGAATGAGTATCGGACAATGACTGTGAATGCAAGCATTGAATATGAGCTTGATCAGTCAAATATTGATACAAGTCATTCAATGCGGGTGGGAGATGTCCACTGTCTGCCAATATCTGTAGCAGATGACCTGCTGCGTCAGGGGAGAGAACAATTGGCATGCTAAAGCGGAATGGAGGGGACATGACTTATTGGAACCAAGAAGGCGCTGGTTTGGGCAAAACGGATAGATAATTAAGTAAGTTACAAATCCTTGCCCCTAGCTTAGGGTTCAAATTGCGAGTTGGTTGCAATCAGAGAGCTCTCCGCCAATCAGCGCCCATCACCTTGCATTTGGCAATTACAAAGTTTAACTACCGGTCCGCCGCCTCCTTCTCAATGTGATTGCTCAGAGTTCTTAAAACATACCTTTCAGCGACCCCAAGTCTCAATGAAGCTCATCCAATATCCCACTTCTAGGCCACCTCCTCCACATACCAGTGTCTTCAACAAGCATCTCCAACAAGCGTCTCCAACCACACACATATCTCCCCCGCTTCCTCATCTTCATGTCCATAAGGATGACGACGACGCCCTGTCATACAGCCCTGCGCCAAATTGAGAGTTCTAGTTAGTTTATAGTTTATACAAAGCAATGAATTGATGAGCGAACCTTGATGACGATGCACGCCCCATCATACAGCCCTGCGCAAAATTGAGAGTCCTAGTAAGCTTTTAGTTTAGACAAAGCAAAGAATGAAAAAACATAACTTGATGACGTCGACGCCCCAAGGTGCAGCGTATCGAAAACTGAGAGTCCTACAGATGTTATGTTAGTGAATAGAGAAAGCATAGAACGAGATGAGAATGCAAAGAAAGAGACGAAAAGAATGAAACTTACGTTGGCCAACCATCACCTTGAAGAGCGACACGCAGTATGAGCCACTTCTTCGTCACGTCCGTCAGGATGATGTCGAAGCTTCATCGTACAGCCTGTGCAAAATTGAGAATAGAGATGTTAGTTCAGAGAAAGCAAAGCACGAAACTTACTTTTGGCCAACAAGCACCATACGAGTAGGCAAGTAGGTAGAGGACATGAGCCAAACGATAGAAGAATTTTGTCTATGTCTTTTGTTGACGTGTTGTTTGTATCAGTCACGTGATGTTCATGGATAGCCATTGGCGCTTTGTATGTACATATCATGGTACCAATATTATTTGCATTGAAACAAGCTCAATTTCCTCCAACAATCTGACAACCGCCTAGCAAATTTGACCGTGACTTTTCACTGCACTGCCGTCTGCGGATGGTCTTCGGATGCTTCTTAGATTTCCTTACCATTTTTTCAACTTCAACTTGTCAAGTTATCACAAACTCAGAGCGTCAAGGTTTACTTTAAGGAGCAATGGGAAAAAACGTGTTTGCCTTACAGTCATCAATTCAATTGGTATGACTTCACAACATTCCACGGTACGTTTCCATGCAGGCTATGAATACCCAGAAGTTGATGTTGAGAACGTGTACACACCGTAAATTCACCCTTTCCACCCAAATGATACCCCCATTCTAGGGTTATGATTGCGAGTTCCCTGCAATCAGAGGGCTCTCCACCAATCAGAGCTCTCCACCAATCATACTCATTCCCGCTCCACGTCACAACTTTTTGCTGCAGGCATAAATAAGGGCAGACAGATGTATGTTGTAGCCCATCGATGGCGGCGGTCTGGAGCTAGTTCGGAGAAAATATCAAGGTAAGTCAGTGCTTCTATTGTAACCCCTTGTATTGACCTTGCCTTTGATTTCTTTCATCGATAACCCTGGGTCTCTGCTGCCAACTCTTATCCGCACGACCTCCGCTTGCCCTTTCGTTTATCACCAACCGTCTTTGACTTTCTTTTTCCATTCCTATCCCAATCACTTCAACAATGCCTACACCAGACTTTATTCATCTGGAACACAGGAGTTATAGCACGGTGAGAGACTTTCCTCCCTATACCGCGCAATGGCTGACCTGTTTATTTTTGGAGGTTCAATCCCGTGGTCTTGTTGCTAAGACAGACGAGGGATATCAAAGAGCAGTAGTTGAACAAGCTCGCAACCTCAGGGCATTTCTAGAGCCCTCGCAGCACACACAGCCCTCGCCACATCCGCAGGCGTCTACATCCTTCCAACTCTCGCAGCCCTTGGATTCTTCTTGGGCCTCTGAAGGATTTGTTGCGACACAAATGGAAGACAACAAGGCAATCGCACGCGACGTCATCAAATGGCTCTGTCGTGATGAAGTTATTTTCCAACACATGAAAAATCCAGGCGATCCTACCAAGCTCCGGAGTGTGAAGGGTATTCTGCAGAGGTTTAAAGAAAAGGGGTATCTGAATGATCAAGGTGCGAGATTTGATGCGTTGACGCTTGTCTATTCTCATCTATTACCTAGGCTGGACAAATAAGATAGATTGTCCTGACTTGAAAGCACCTCACTTTAATCGCCAACACGGTGGTGGCGCCAGCACAGAAGATCGTATGACCAATTTTTTGAATCGTTTAGTCGAAGAGGCCCTTTTACTAGCAGGCGAATCCAAGATTAAGCGAATCTGGAGCTCGGAATATTGTCAGAAACCTCTTCCTGGGTCCGCTGAAGAACGCAAACCGGATATCATACTCCTGCCCAACGACCCTCTCGTTCAGGACTGGCGTCGTGTCTTCACGCTTGCTGAGATGAAGCAGCACGGTGTTGATGTTGATAGACAAGAGTGGTTTGACGAGATCGCGAAGCGGGCGAACACGATCTGGGGTTGTCAGGATGCACGCAACTTTGTCATCGTCTTGATGTTTGTGGGTGAAGCGTTTACTTTTGCATTTTTCGATCGCGGAGGAGCGGTTTGCCTTGACATGCTAAGCATCGTGGATGATAAAGAGGAATACCTTCGGCTTGTTCTATACTTATCCCTGGCCGATCCTGGTTTGTCATTCCATCACGCTCGTATGGTCATTAGCTCACAATGTTATGCAATAGGTATGGTGGGCCTCGAGACATCTATCATGCAGAACAAAGCTGGGCGATTTATACGATCGAGGGTTTTCGGTCCCAAGGTGCCAATCAATATGGTACTCTTCATCAGCAATAACATTCATGGACGCGGCACCGTGGCTCGTCACGTCACACTGTCACGTGAGCGCATTGCACAGGCATTGCAGTTGGGTGGGTTTTGGGGTGCCATGGAGAAATGGCTTAAGGGAATGGAGAAGGAGGTGGATGTGGTGGTTAAAGATACCTGGGTTGATCTTACCGCACCTCACACAGAAGGCATGATTCTCAATTACCTTCGACTCAAAGGCGTCCAGGGTGTTACGCGTTTACTCTTTGAGGGACTTGTTGCTGGCCCTGCCTCACCACCTCCACTCTTCCAAACTCATGATCGTCCTGGCATCGGTTCCTTGAAGGATATCGGCACAATATCCCAGACTGGCGACATCAACGTGTGGAGCAGCACTGTCTACAACCGCTCTTTTTGGGGTGTTCCGACGCTAGCCTTGGCACACAAGAGCATGGCTAGGAGCGTCAACAAATATGACCGCCGCCATCCTGTGCCTGAAGGCGTCACAGTACCAAAGCTGGAACCTGTGACGCGCGAAGTTTACCAGGAGCGGATGCTCACCCGATCTTGGTTGTATCCATTGTGCGCACCCATATACGAGTTCAGCTGTATCTACGAGGCATTAGTTGGTATTTCGGATTGCATTCGATGTAAGAATCAATTTGTGTTACACGAGATTTTTTTCTGATTACAATTGCAGCCCATGGCCAGGCGTTTTCGCCCTACCTCATCTCAGAGGGAGGCAACGAGACTGACGAATTATTTCCCATCTCCTTTATGCAAGCTGACACTTCCATGTGGAATATGGGACTTGTTCGTCCAGCGATGTCAGATTGGGGTTGCATTGATCATACAGGACTTGATCCAAGCAATATTCGACGCGGCCTGCTGTATGATCATGCGTTTGCCTCCTGGAATACGCGAAGTACGTCTATGAGAGGAAGCCCCCCATCAAAGATCTTTGACAAGCATGCTGGCACCGCTTCAACTTCAATGCTGTCCTCCCAACATGAAGCCCTCAACTCGGACGATTCTCTTGTTCACCATCCTCATCATTCTCCTGCTCATGTTTCTGTCTATAATACTTCTGCCTCTGGTACTTCTACTAACACTTCTACCGCTCGTACCTCCAATCCTTCACCTTCTTGTGCGCCAGTTGCACCCACAAACGTCTCCCCCGTCCTACATTTGGACGCGCCTTCAACGTCAATAATCCCTTCCGCACCTTCAACTTCCACGATCCCTTCTCAACCAGTGTCGACTGCACCTTCACGTGGAAGACGTGTGACGAGTAAAGGTAAAGGCAAGCAAGGAGGACGAAAGGGTACAGATGGGAGAAAAAGTACCCCTGGTGCTGTCAATGCCCCTCCCGATTCTTCTGCTGCTACACGCAAGCGCGGTTTTGATAGCGTTTCTCAAGGCAAACCGCCTGACGGTCCATCCAAACGACAAGCTCCCCTTCATCATGTACCGAAGGTGAACATCAAGCCCAAGCATGTTGTCCAAAGTCTTCAAGTCGACGTTGCTGGCTACGGCTCTTTGAATATCGACGATGATCTGGAACGATTTAAGGAAAAGGGTGGCATTTACGAGCTGACAGTGAGTATCAATCGTTGTTTTTGCCCTCCTGCTCATCGCATCATATGTACAGGGCACTCGAGCATGGATGGCCATCCAGATGATGTTCGCACAAAAACCAGGCCAAGATATCATTCGACGTGAAATCGCACATGATCTGGAAGGTTACTATTATGTGATCCTCACCCTCGCATTCATGTTTGACGCACCATATGCATTGAAGAAAGTTCCACACCCCGATACAGCCAGCGGAGGGGAGATGTGGGTCCATCGTTGGCTTGAGAACACCATAGAGAAGGAGATCTGGCATGAAGCCGTTGAAAAACAACACTATCTGGCTACTGATGCAGGGTTCGCTATGGTGGACGGAGTTTTGGGTAACGACTGGGCAAATGAGCCTGTCCGGATGATGTTGAAGGAGATGAGGACGATCCTATTTGTTGAAAGCCAACCAAGCCACTCCCGCATGCTCGAAGTCATCAACACTGCACTCTTCAAGATCCGTACTGATCGTACACTAACCCATCTCTGCCAACCTCAACAGATGACAAACGAGTGGGCCAGGGCAGTCGGTGGTGGCGGATTTGTCAAACACTCACAGACGCTCCCTGCCTTGCGGATGAATTTGTTGTATCACAAGGATCGTCAAGATGCCGAACTCAATCTCTTTGCTCGCATGCCATGTCCCCCAGTGCAAGAACGCAAGCTCACGCCCGGTAACTCGTCACAGTACCTGAAAGGTACCGGTGGAAAGACAGCGGATCGCATTAATGTAATGGCCGCTCCTGTGGTGCTGAAGGAACTTCGGAAGGAATGGGCATCTTAGGTCTATGATTTGCTTGAAGCGTGCATGGTCAGATCACACTTTATTTTTATGATTTCAAAGGACAACATATCACACGCGTTGTACAGTTTCCAAGTCCTTTAGCCTTTGCATAAGCTTTTATCATACGTAACATTCAATACGTATTGTATTTTTAGCTCAACAATTTTCATTTGCAATTGACGCTTGCATAGACGCTCCTCCTAGACTCTTTCTGCATCACCTTGGTATACTAGTTCATCAAATGGTCAACAGGCGAGTTCTTGGTGAGGCTTCAACTTCTTATAAATGCCCTGCTCCAGGCTGCATTCGCACATTCGGTACTACACAAGGACTGAATTCTCATCTACGCAATGCTGCAAGCTGTAAATGGTATAAGTTAGGGAAGGGAAGAGAGCTGGATAGCATGGATGATGAAGGTACAAGTGGATTTGAGATGGAGGGACTACCAGATGGGATAGCGGATGAGGTGGATGATGATTTATTTCAGTTGATACCTTTGGGGCCTGATAGTGAGTTGCAGTATCAATTTCTTGTTACGTTCTTACATTATTTCTAGTTCATGAAATACACAACGAAGATAACCAGAACATGATGGACATAGACCAGGAGCAGGAAGAGCTCACAGCGGGTCCGTCTAGGCACAGAACCGCTTTAGCAGAGGAAGATGCGCGTGTCACAGAGACTCATTCTACTGCTGGGAGGGTCATACGCATGGAGGAGACAGTGTATGCTAAATGGCGGACACAATTTGGATTAGGTGATGGAGAGGAGGTGGAATCAGGTCGTTCTGATGATGAAGATGAAGATGGTAATTTATTCTACCCCTTTGCATCACGACTGGACTGGCAGGTAGCATGTTGGGCTGTGCAAGAGGGAATAGGGCACAAAGCATTTGACAGGTTGTTAGCTATACCAGGGGTATGTCAACGTACATATTTTCTATCAATATCATGGCTGATTTTTTGCAAATAGGTTAGAGAGCGTTTAGGACTTGCATATCACAATATCAGAGGACTCCATCAAACCATAGACAGCATCCCTCCTCGAGCTAAATGGCAATCAACTTACTTGGCCTTCAATGATACGCCTCACTATAAGCATGAACTACACTATCGAGATCCTTTGGAAGCCATTCAAACGTTGCTGGGCAATCCTGCTCATGCTCAAGATATTGTCTATAAGCCTTCAAAGATATTTACAGACTCTTCTCATTCTACCCGCATATTTAATGAAATGTGGACAGGGCGTTGGTGGCATGCAGTCCAGGTGAGCGTCTTAATATTGATTACACTGCTATAACAACTAAGTATGTTTTTTACAGGATAGACTTCCTCAGGGCGCATCTGTAGCTCCTGTAATTATTGCCACAGACAAAACTCAGCTGACCCGGTTTTCTGCATCCAAATCAGCATACCCCGTCTACCTCACTCTAGGCAATATACCTAGAGCAATACGACGGAAATCCAGTCAGCACGCCTGTATTCTTATAGGGTATTTATCTGTGGATAAAATCCTAAAGGAGGAGCTATCTGCAAGAGAAGTCTCTTCCAGGGTACAGCGTCTCTTCCATGACTCAATAAGGATCATTTTGGAACCGCTGAAAGAGGCAGGAAGAAGAGGAATAGAGGTGGTGGGTGGAGATGGTCTTGTTCGCCTGGTCTTTCCCATTCTAGCTTGCTATGTGGCGGATTATCCTGAGCAATGCTTGGTTACCTGTACCAAGTACGGTACTTGTCCCAAGTGTAGGGCTAGAGCGGATGAATTGGCTGAAATACAACATTTTGCCAGACGTACTCAACCTTGGACCTCATCAGTAATTGACCATGCCAACATCTCCACAAAGACCGACTCTGCCTTTCGTAAACAGTGCATGTCTCAGGATGTAGCTGGAGGCGTATTTGAACCATTTTGGCTGGACTTCCCTCATTGCGATATTCACTTGGCTATCACATCTGACGTACTTCATCAACTGTATCAAGGGATATTCAAGCACATGGTCGAGTGGTGTCAGGAGCTTATGGATGAAGAAGAACTGGATCACAGACTTAGAACTCTCCCTCCTTCTTATGGCGTCCATCACTTCCATAAAGGCTGGTCTGCTTTGGGTCAAGTCGGTGGAAAAGAGAGGAAAAATATGGCTAGAGTGCTATTGGCTTGCTTAATTGGCAAAGTTCCAAGAGGCGTCATTCAGGCATACCGTGCCCTCCTTGATTTCATTTATCTTGCCCAATATCCCACTCATGATGACGACACTCTGGAATATATGCAACAGGCCTTACAAGATTTTCACCTTCACAAGGAAGTCATCATTAATCTGGGTATCCGAGACCATCTCAATATTCCCAAATTCCATTCCTTGCAACACTACCTGGAGAACATACGCAACTTCGGAACTACAGACAACTATAACACGGAGATGTTTGAGAGGTTTCATATTGACTTTTGTAAAGAGGGGTGGTACGCTTCCAATGGAAGAAATGAAAGGCCTCAAATGATCTCTTGGCTAACTAGAAGAGAGAAAGTAGCGTCATTTCAAAGCTATCTCAAGATGTCTATGGAGGATGAAGAAGAAGAGTTTTCCCACTCAAGGTTTAGAGATCATAGAGTCATCCTCACTAAACGTCCTCATCGCCTTCACCAAAATATCTTGGACGTCATGCAGAATCATTCTTGCAAAGGCTTCAAGAAAGATCTCATCACCTATCTCAACTCTCAGTTGGCTCACTCTCATTCACGCGGGCAGCTCAGGAACATGGATCTTCCTTTTAGTCATATTGATATCTATCATGGATTCAAATTCTGTCTAGAGTCATTAGGCAATGACGTTGACTTTGATCAATTGGAGGAGGCAGATTTTGTCAAAGCACAGCCACCTGTTTCTCATAAAGCTGGACGCTTTGATACAGTTGTAGTCATGGATGATCCTGACTGTGAAAGCACTGGTTTAACAGGTGAGTAATATTATGATATATCTGTTGAAAAATTGTATGAAAATTTCAAAACTATAGGAACACGTATTGGAAGGTTGAAGATTATATTTCGTCTGCCACAACAAGTATATGGGTCTATTCAACCTGCATGGACTAAAGACCCTTTGGCATATGTTGAGTGGTATACTCCATTGAAATCTGCAGCAGAAGACTATCATGAGATGTATACTGTCAAGAAACCTTTACTTTCTTCAGATGGTTCATTGCCAGGTAAAGTTATTCCACTGTCTTGTATTAGACAGACATGTCAGCTTGTTCCGAACTTTGGCACAACAACCATTCCTATAGATTGGACTTCAGATAATGTATTAGATAAATGCGATACCTTCTTACTTAATTGTTTTACCTCCAAATATGCTTACCAAACTTTATGGTAATATATAGACCTTCATGATTTCTATATTGGTCTCTATGGCTATCATAGCTGGCCATAGACTGTGTAGAGCTATGACCCACTATCACAACTATATAGAGGATGATTATCTATATAGAGAAACAGTTTTTCCTGATGAAGGTCAAAAATTTATCGTACAGTTGAAAATACAATACCTTGTAGTCCTTCTTGCGAGAGCCTGATGATATGGAATTGATGAGGTCGTTGGTGCTGGTGTTACCAGAGGAATGCTTATGCTTGCGTTTGCCAGGCCTTGATGGTTCTGGTGACTCTGACCGCTTATTCTTGCGTTTTCCAAGTTTCACAGGCTCTGGAGAGGATCTGAAGGAAGAAATGCTAGTGCTTCATATAACATTGCTCTGAGTCAGGGGGATCAGAGGAGCTTGATGACATGCCAGGATGACGACGCGAAGACATGATGGTGGTTAGACTTAAGGGTTAGGGCATGGGACTGATATGATTAAGTTCCAAATGTTGACGTGATATTAGGTCACATGATTATATGCGCTATATGCGCAACAAGAAGTACAAAATTAATTCTACAGTTACAATGTGAGTGCGTGCAACCAGAAAATGCCAGCTGACTTTGAATTAAAATCATGTGATTTTCTGGACACTTGCACGCAGTGATGATTCTACACCCAAACCTATTGTAATTAACACTCATAAATCAAGTTGGTGAGTATCCTTTCTTTTTGCTTTGCTTAAACACCCCTCCCTATGAAGTCCGGTATGGCCCGTCCCCGCCCTGAGACTGAGTAGTGGAGCACCACTCCCCCTTCCACCACATCCACAAATTTTGACCGTTTCCGTTTTTTTTTGCTCACTTTCGTTCCTCAGGCAATTGTGGACATTTCTCTATCCGACTACTCAATCCGACCCCTTCACGCATCCTTCCGCGATTTCTTCATGGATGAACCATCCAGTGGAGAGTTTTTTTATCGACCTGTCAAAGGTGCAACATGACCTTGCACTCGTGTCACTTTGAGTGATGGAACACGGTCTTCGCTTCAATATCTGTGATTTAAAGTTGTCGTATCTATCTAATAGCGAGGATCCCAGGCTACAAGAACGAATCCAAAAATGCATCCCCTTATATCTGTCATATTCATCTCGATTTTGGACGTCACATGTACAAACCACAGCCTTTGACAAGGAACTCGCGAAAGAAGTGAAATTGTTATTCGACCACGAGCGGCTGTTTTTCTGGCTCGAGTGCTGCCCTTCCGCTCATTCTCATGTGGCTAAAGGTGAGTACATTGCTTCTAAGTGCCAAGTAAAGTGCTGACACGCAACCCGGTGTTCATTCAAGTCTTCAGTGGCATCATTTTACACAGTACACCACATCTATATGTATCAACACTCCCATTCACGCCTGCCAACTCGCTGCTACCAGGAACGGAGGTGTACAAGTTATATGATTGTATCCTCTCTGCGCCGACCCCAAGTGGGCTTACATGCCACTTGTCCATTGTTGCTGCTCTCACAGACCCTCTTCCCATTCCCATCTTGCAAATCTCGTCACTTCTTGGCCCTGGTTTGGGCAGGGATGTGCAGACAATGCTGATACAGCTACGGTCTGTCATAGATATCCCTACAGACAGCACTCACCCTGTGAATATCTATCACTCATCCGTTCACGACTACGTTTTCGACCCCTCCAACTGCAGCCTCCCTCAAGTATGCGATATCACATCACCCCACTCCCTACTCGCACAGTCGCACTCCTTCTCCAGGTGATGATCACATTGTCAGTGTTTGGTTAGTATTTGGGTGATCGTTGTATCATCAGCCAATTGGTCTCGCCTATGAGGCTGACTGCTGACGGTCATTAATTCTCATGCATCTCAACGAGCGTTTTGATTCCCACCTTTGCCTGATTGTACTCATTTCATCTACCACCCAACCCATCCCGTTATTCAGGCCACATGTAAATTACTTTAAAAATAAACAGAGCTAATCTTCTGAGCTATCTTGTTCATGTGCTGTCGTCAATTATAAGGTTTGCAAAGCTATCCTCCTCGAACTCATTCATCACATCCTCCCCATCTTCCGGACCAAAGTCATCAACATCATGTTGGTTTCTTCACCTGCACCATCTTGTTGAGGACTTGATCAAGGCCAGAGTAACCGTATTTGTCATCTCGTCGGCAAACAGTGTCGTCTACCCATCACTTCAAAGGGAGCTGGAACTTCATCCCCGTCCTTTGTCATCCATGCTGTCTGTCTCCTCGCTATCATCTGCTTCCTCCTCGCTGTCACCCACCTCGTCTCCATCCTCATGCTCATCCATATCCTCGTCTCCTTTGAAGGCCTGTCAAACCCAGGTAGAGGTGCTCTTTTTCTCCCATTGAAATGGACTGTTATCCAGGTCATCCGATCGTCAAGCAAGCAGGATGTCTCTCTCCGTGTGGTTTTTGTGCCCGACACCTCCTCCGCAAAAGCACATGAACATATCTGGTCAACAAACCTGGTAATTTTTTAGTCTTAATGCGTGTTGTTAACGGGAAATAACTGACATGTTGATGCAGTACCAGTCCCAATCCTCATCCTTGTCAGCTGCTTGACGAGCAATGGACAGTCCCAACAGAAGCAGTTGTACATTGATATCGAAGGCTGGGATAAGTTGAACACCCACGAACTACAAGGTCAGGATCAAGGAACCCAAATGCTGAGTCATCAGCTCCATCGTAAAACCCAACCAACCATGGCCAGTCGTTTTGCAGGCCCAACTGTTGGTGCAGTGATGTCACGGGCAAACCAGCGGACCCACAAAAAGTCAACGCGCTTTATAGAGGGATGTGCACCTGGTCTCATGTAGCGGGTATTGACGTGAAACACTCCAATAACTCGAGCATACCAGTATGGATGGGAGTCTTCCTGGTCACGAGCAAGAACCATGATGTCTGCATGTGTGCGGGGATTGAGGGAGTCCTGAGCACGCCGCAAGTCATAGGTAGTGTAGTTCACACGAAGCACTTTGTGACGATAAATTTGATTGTGATAATTGCCACAGAGTTTCGTTGTGCCGCACTAAATGAAGTCTCGTCTCCGTCATAGTCCAGTCCTGACAAGTGACCCAGCAGGTGATCTTTGAGACATGGAAGAAAATTCTAATTACATCCAGTGAGCAAATACATTTGTCGTTTTACGAGTTCAGAGACCTACCTTTGTGGCCTGGTCATTTCTGTTCTTTCCAAGCAGGAAGAAATATCCCAGTAATGTTTCTGTGACGAGGACATCTGGTAGTGTATCTCCAGCGAGTAATGCGGCAGTGGGTCCTGGTCAACGAAATGAAGAGATGGACAGAGATCTTCAGTCTCAGGCTGTGCGTGATTCTCTTGTGCAGCTGCCCTTTCACGGTTCACCTCTTTCATCCTTTGCAAAATGCGCTCACGACGCTGAAGTCTTGCAATTCCATGGACAAACTTATTCTTGTTGGTCTGTGCATAAAAGTGCTTGACTCAGCGATGTTCAAATTTGCCCTAACACTACCATTAGTGGATCATTAATTATTCATAAATTCCAATACTCACCATTTGTGTAGAGTAGTTGTCCGTAGTCCCATACTGCCAGATCGACTTGACGTAGTCTCCAAGAGCATGGAGTTTGTAAGTCGAGAGGTTGAGGAGCCGTTGCTTGGAGGGGCCATCACCTTCAGCATCAGTATTTGTTCCTTCTGACCATTTTGTCTTTCCTTTAGATGCTTTAAGACACCGACGCCGTGCACGAGTAGCAAATTTTGTGCAGGTGTTGTCACAGAATCGCCAAAGAGCCTTTCCTAGCCTTGTCGTTAGTTGTCAAAATGATA